ATTATCAAAAACTATAGAAGATTTATTTAAATGATATAGGGTTGAAACTAATTAAGATCAATTAAAAAAAAGACATTAATTTATTTATTAAAAAGTGTATGAATCTCGAAAAAATGCGTGGTATAAAGTGTCTATGAAGATAATATAATTATATTAAAAGTCAAGCAAAAAGGTAATGCGCATCCAGGGAATCGAACCCTGGTCAGTACCGTGGGAGGGTACTATGATACCACTACACCAGATGCGCTTCCTTGTAAACTAAATCCATTAGTATTATATTTAATATTAGAAACGGATAAAATTGTTTACTAAAAGTCTTTCATTTCTTTTGGTCAAAAATCGAAATTAAACAAAACCCCCAAAATTTGTTTCTCCTTCAAATCGAATCTGACGAATTCCGCAAAAACCTAATCAGATCTGATTAGGTCTTCTCAGAAAAACCCTAAATCGGATCTCGAGAGAGAAGCCATGGACAAGAGCATCAGCATCGGCACAAGCGCTTCAATCACCTCCAACGTAACCACGACGACGACCTCCATGGAGAAGATCGATCAGGTGGCGAGCTGGGTCAGCGCCTCAATCATCTCCGCTTTCTTCTCCTCTCTCGAACGATGCGCCTGCGTCAATCTCTCCACCTCTCACGATGAAGACGATGACGAGGAGTCTTACCACCGTCCCCTTGCTCTCTCCGCCGCTCCTCATCCAAACGACACCGTTTAGCTCCGGTAAATCAAAAACCTCTTTCCTTGTTACTGCTAATCGATCGTGTGGATTTCGTGGTTCTATGTCTGTCTTGTGTAATGCTATGGAAAAATTTCAGATCTTTTTGGTTATTTGTAAAAATGTCAGACGTTGGAATTTGATTTGGTCTGTATCTGTTTTTTTTTTTTGGGGACAAAATGTCTGTATCTGTTTATGTTCATGATTCTGATTATACTTTTGGTTTGAATGAATGAATACATATATTATATGTGTTTGATCTTTCTGAATGCTTAAGTTGAATATGTACCAAGAACAATCATTGTGAAGATCATTTGTTTGGATTTTCGTTTCATTTTTTATCTTATGTTACCGAATTTTAACCGAATAGTTTCATTTGGTCATCAGTGGAACTCATATTTAGAGATTTGTCACTTAGATTGCATAGTTTTCAAATTCAAGAAATGTG